AAAGTCAGATTGTGCAGAGGACTCATCTGGTTCTTGTGGTCTTGTCCCAGTGGCCGTCTAGGTGACGAGGTCTTCACTTTGGATCTGTCTCTGGGGCTCATCTAGTTGTCCTGGTCTCCGCTGGCATTCATATGGAGCATATAATATGACAAAACCACCTGAATCCGCACTGCACAAATTTGAATCATTGACAAGTGGCACCCATCAAAACTGATCACCATGTGGCACTCAAGACAGCTCTGAACCCGATCCCTTTCAACTTTAATATTGAACACTTGAAACCCAACACAACTGAACCTCCTCTACAGCAGAGCTTCATAGACATGCACCTACAAACAGCGAATCCCCCGCTCAGAACACCCTGACCGCAAACATCCAGCTCCCAAAAACACAGCCTCAAGTTCTCAAGATGAAGAGGAAACTCGGAACGCCAAACCCAATATTCCAAAATTCAAAACGCAGAAACCCAGACCGCACAGAAAGCAGGCCAGAGGCAACCCACAGGGAAGAGCAGACGATCTCCGAAAAGTCAAACGAAGCACCCTGGCCAACCAGAAGTCCTCTGGCACCCAGACCAGGCTGCTCCACCCGACCACGAATCGCCCAAAGGCAGCCCAAGCGATTCCCAAACATCCATGGTTCACACCCATATGTTAGGTTAGTGTTCTCAGTCCTTCAGTCCCTGCCGCAGAAAAACAGCCCCACAGCATGAGGCTGCAACCACCACACTTTACTGCTGGGATGGTACTCTGCAGGTGATGAGCAGTGCCTGCTTTCCTCCAAACATAATGCTTGGAATTGAGGTTTATCAGACCAGAGAAACTTGTTGGGTTGTCATGCGTCTTCACTGAGGAGAAGATTGACCCTGCGTTCCATTCGGAAGGGCTCATCCCTATGCCCTAATCCCTTCAAAGGGTTTACCCTCCGGAGTGAGAGCTTCGAAGGGTTGAAGGGTGTAGGGGACCAAACAACTGTTTCTTGAAGTGCCCTTCTGCGTCATCATCACATGCCCACACAGAAGCACCGTCATCATGCAAAGAATCTGCGCAAAGGATCATGGGAGCCCGAAGTGTCCATCAGTTGTACCCTTCGAAATCCTCTTCATTCCGAAGGGCCCTTTGAAGTGGCCAGTTTTGAGCACTTCGGTTTGGAACGACCCTTCAATATGGCGGCCATGATTGTTTTCACTCCGAAGTGCCCTTCGGAGGGCGATATATCCCATTTGGAACACACCGTGAGTCTGGCCACACCGCCATTATGCCCAGATCGGTGGAGTGTTGCAGTGATGTTTGTCGGTTTCTCCCATCTGCATATATGATCAAGGAGCTCAAATAGAGTGACCATCAGCTTCTTGGTCACCAGTCTAACCAAAGCCCTTCTCCATCAATTGACCATTTGCAAAGACCCGCCCTCCTTAGTTACTGTTGCCATCTCCAACAAACATTGCATGAGAACATGATTTGTAGTGTGAGAGCGGCAGTGAAAATACATCGCAGAGCAAAGAGGAATCTAACAACACACCGACAGAGAAGACAAAGCAGGTTACTCCTGGTATGAAACAAGGTCTCGGGAGTCTCAGCTTTTAAATTGTGTCATTTTTAAAGAAATTCAAACAATGTGGCTCTTTAATGTGTCGTGACAGATCACTGTATTGCCTCAGTTCAAACACGTGAACCGATCGTCTTTTCATATTTACTTAAAGCACGAAATGAACATGAATAAACATCAGAAAGTATTTTATTTCAACTGCGGAACACACCATTTTAAGTTTAAGTCCACCGAAGTTAATCTACTCTCCTGTCCGAGAGTAGACAGCTGTGGCTACTGGGCATGCGCATTTACATATTTTCAGAGCCAACAATATAACGTGAACCCTATGAAAATGGTTTAAAAAAGCACATGGCGCCATAGTTCCATCACTTTAAAGTGTTGCAGTGACCGTCTTTTTGCAGTAAAGGACTTGTCATAGTTTAATGAGTGGGAAGACGACATGAAGCGACGAGAGGTTAGCTGCATTGAAAACAGATGAGCGCACGTGCATATACAGCTCCCGATCGGGGCGAAGTTCACGGGATTTTGTCCACAGAATGATAAGAGCACACATTTTAACATATTATTTTATTACTTCACACTCAGTATTTTAACTTAAGCGCTGCAAGCCATGCATACAGTGCTGGACATGACAGTTATTCTGGTACGCAAAACAAGTATTTAAAGGAATTCCTTTAGCTTGTTGCCGTTACTGTGGCAGCCAGCAACAGCACAGCTTAACCCTCCGCATGTTTATATTTAGTTATATTGAAAAGTCAGTCGATCTTTTTTTATTCTACATATACAAGCGGGCCTGGGCAATTCCCCCCCAATGTCGCCCATGGGTATGAATACTTTCGCAAGGCACTGTATTACATATTATTGCTGTTTTGTTGTTTTTGATTGCTTCTATTGTCCTCATTTGTAAGTCGCTTTAGATAAAAGCGTCTGCTATATGCCTAAATCTAAATGTAAATGTAATTAAGCACTGCCTGAGTGAGAGAGAGAGAACTGCATACAATATGTCTAAACATATAACATTAATAAACTTGCCCTCCAAATGAGGACAATGGAAGCAATCAAAATCAACAAAAGAGCAATGATATGCAAGTGCTATAACAAGTCTCCGTTAGCTTAATGCAGTACACGTAGCAAGGTTTTTTTTTTTTATAATAAAAAGAAAACAAATAGAATAGAAAAAGAATAGAGCAAGCTAGTGTTAGAGGCCTTTTTTTGCTTTTGTTAATAGTATAATAAATAAAAAGAAAACAAATAGGTAGAATACAAAAAGATTAGAAAAGCTATAGTTAGTTTTTTTTTTTTTTTAAGAAAACAAGCAGTTAGTAAATAAATAGAGTACAAGTCTAAAAGGGGCAAGATATTTTTTTTTATAAAGAATAGAATTAGAATAAAGAATGCTAGAGTTAGATGGTGCAATGTTTTTTTAAATTATATAATAAATAAAAAGAAAACAGATAGAATAGAAAAAGAATAGAGCAAGCTAGTTTTAGAGGCCTTTTTTTGCTTTTGTTAATAGTATAATAAATAAAAAGAAAACAAATAGGTAGAATACAAAAAGATTAGAAAAGCTATAGTTAGTTTTTTTTTTTTTTTAAGAAAACAAGCAGTTAGTAAATAAATAGAGTACAAGTCTAAAAGGGGCAAGATATTTTTTTTTATAAAGAATAGAATTAGAATAAAGAATGCTAGAGTTAGATGGTCAAATAAAGATGGAAGAGATGTACATTAATGCCTTGAATTTAATGCAAGCAGCTACTAGTAGCCAGTGCAAATTGATGAACAGAGGTGTGACGTGCATTCTTTTCGGTTCATTAAAGATTCATCTTGCTGCTGCGTTCTGGATTAATTGTAAAGGTTTGATAGAACTGGCTGGAAGACCTGCCAAGAGAGCGTTACAATATTCCAGCCTGAACAGAACAAGCGCTTGAACAAGGAGTTGTGAAGCATGTTCCTAAAAAAAAGAGCCTAGACAGAGAAGAGAAGTGGTCCAAGAACTGAGCACTGAGGCACCCCAGTAGTTCGATGTTGTGACTTGGACACCTCACCTCTCCAAGATATCATTAGCATATACAATAGTAAAATTCATTTATGTTTTGACTGAACAGTTGTTGCATGTGCATTATGTAATAATTTAATTTAATTTAACTAGTTGCATTTGCATTTTCCAGTACATTTTATTTGTTATGAAATAAACGTACATTTTACCAAATTTTCCCCCAAGTCATCGTTTGACCAGAGCTCACAGTATCGGCACACCATCAGAAACAGCTGGGTTCAGTCAGTGCTAGCTTCACGCATGCTCGTATCTCAAGCTCAATATTGAACATGTCCGAAAGAAACAGTTCTCCATTTAGTGTTCTGGTGATTCGAAAACTGCTGCAACCGGTTCTTGAATCGAGATCCGCTGTAGCAGTATGTGCAAGTCAGCTGAGCCGAGAACTGCTGCAACTTGAATATACAGTCGACAATACTAAAAGCTGAAGCATTTCTCCAGTGTTTAATACGTTTCTACTGATGAATAATTAACTGATTAACTAAATATTTACTTTGCACCCATAAAACCTTGGCAAACGTTTACATCAGAATTTATATACAAAAATTTAGAAATTAAACAAGCTGTTCCTGAAAATATATATTGTTGATGAAACAAATAAATGTTTAGTTTGACAGTTTTACGATCCTTTCATTGTGTTTCCTATCTTTAAAAAGATATTGATGCAACAGTAATTGTGTTAAACAAGTTTCCAACATGTTTTATTTTGTTACACTTTCTGATGTTCAACAAAACACTTTTAAAAAATGCTTTTTGTCCCTCTGAGTAAATAAAATAAAAAGTAAATAAAAAATACAGGCAGGCTCAGTATCATCAGCTCATCGGTCCTCAGTATCGAACGTGTCCGAAAGAAACAGTTCTCGTTTCAGTGTACTGGTGGTTTGAGTAAATACAAAAATACACTTGAATTAAATAACTTTAGAAAATTGTGCTGACTCGAGATGTGAACTGTTTTGAACGATTCAGTCTGATTCGGTGTACTGGTTCGACAGGTTCAAAAAAATGATTTGATTGCGAAACACACATCACTATTGTTGACTGCATTCTTCTTGTTAAATCCCGGTAACTGTGGTGTATTTTTGATCTCCCACTCCCATCCGGAGCAAATGTAAAACTGGCTGATCCCGATTTGTGTTGGGACCTGCGGGATCCCAATCCAGTGCTCTACTGTGGGCTTTTATAAGGGCTTTAATAACTGCCAGCTTGAAAGTATTTGGGACGTGTCCTAAAGAAAGCAAATAATTAACAATACTGACAAGAGGTTCTGAGAGTACATTTTAGTTGTTTAGTGGGTATAGAATCTAGTGGTTGAATTTAATGTTTTACTGTCTAAAAGCTTTCATGTCTTGCTGCCGTTAAACTGGTGTTAACTTGTTTTTGTTTCCTTTCACCTTAGACCTGATGCCGCTGAACGAGGAGAGTCAAGAACTGAATGTAATGGAAGAGAAAAATCAGTATGAGAAACGTCATTATTTCATGACTGGGGAAAAATCTTGTACTTTCTCACCGACTCAAAAAACTGAAAGTAGAAACCTTAAAGTCCAGATGAGAGTTCACACTGGAGAGAAGCCTTACACTTGCAAACTGTGTGGAAAGAGTTTCTCACGAAAACTAAATCTTAACATTCACATGAGAATTCACACTGGAAAGAAGCCATTTAAATGCTCTCAGTGTGGAAAAAGTTTTAAAGAGAAAAGGCACCTTAATGCCCATGTGACAATTCACACTGGAGAGAAACCTTACACCTGCAAACTGTGTGGGAAGAGCTACACAAGAAAAGAAAATCTTAAATTCCACATGAGTGTTCACACTGGAGAGAAGCCTTACACCTGCAAGCTGTGTGGGAAGAGCTACAAAAGAAAAGAAAATCTTACATTTCACACAGAAAATCACACTGGAGAGAAGCTATTTAAATGCTCTCAGTGTGGAAAAAGTTTTAAACAGAAAAAGTACCTCATTGGCCACATGACAATTCACACTGGAGAGAAACCGTTTGTTTGTGATCAGTGTGAAAAGAGTTTCAGGTGTAAAGGACACCTTGATCTTCACATGAGGAGTCACTCAGGAGAGAACTGTTTTATATGTCAGCAGTGTGGAAAGAGTTTCTCACACAAAGGAAACTTTGAGAATCACATGAGAGTTCACACTGGAGAGAAGCCTTTCACCTGCCCTAATTGTGGAAAGAGCTTTACAGCTAAAGGAAACCTTAAGATTCACATGAGAATTCACACTGGAGAGAAACCTTACAAGTGTCTTCAGTGTGACATCAGTTTCACATATCACACAGACCTGAAACGGCATTTGCAAACTCATTCTGGAAAGAAATTCCAAACCTCATGTCACACTGAGGAAAATGGCAATTTCAACAATCATCTGCGCATTCACTCTGAAGAAAGACAGTTCAGGTGTGATCATTCTAATTAAAACATCACATTAACACATTCATACACCATTAATATTTAAATATATTAATCAATAAGATTTAAGTAGTCAGTATGATTTTGTCTATAGGGTGAATATATCTATGTGATCAATGGGGAAAAACAGGTCTTCTTGTGTAACAGCCCTAGGGGCCTCTCAGTAGCGTGAGACTTGGACATATGGATGAATACCTGTCTGCCTGCAGGTAACAGTTTTAGAAAAATATATATGGAAAAACATGTGAAATCCTTGGAAATTGGTGATATGTTGCAGATACAGAATGGCGCGATGAGGGCGACTCTCAAGGCAGCCTCCTGGTTGGTTGAGAAGTGAGGCCCAAGGGACTCTATTTTCTTATCTCAAGAAATGTATTACAAGTACCTTTATAAGCTGCTGTGAGCTTTGTGTGTTATTTCTTTGCTCACAGACTTCTGCTGTGTGTAAATTGATCAATTTCTCTGCAGGGCATTAAAAGCAAGATCAAGACAAACTTTTGACTTGAGTTTCACTCTGTCTTCACAATTGTTTTATTTCTTAATTGACTAGAAAATCTACAACAGTACATAAATATTCCATTATTTAAGGTTTAAAAGTAGCTTTCCGTGGTTTTTAGTATGGAGGAACTTGAAGAAGCATTCAGTTGCATTGGCAGTGGGACAAGTCTGTGGCAAACCTCAAGTGTTTTCAGCATACCATTCAGATAAAAAAAGGTCAAATATACTTGTTAGAGGCACAAAACTTCTTGTAGCTTTTGGTAAATGCCTATTACCAACAGAATCCAATCAGAATTTAATTTAAATAATAAATTGTTTGATCGGACCTAACTGTTTTATATATATACACTGAACAAAATTATAAATGGTTATGGTCCAATAAAACCCAGTCAGTTTTCTTTGGATAAATAGAGTTTCATGCAGATCAGTTCTGAGGTTTATTGTGTTTATCTAACAGAACCAAGATGTGCAGAGCATCAGTATGCAAATCAGTTTACATAGAAACCTTAAGTACAAATCCAAGAGATGTTGTAGTAGATTTTTATTGGTTAAAATATGAATTGTTCGAGTGTAATCATTAAGAATATAAGCATTTAAATATCCAGTTATTCTTACATTATAATCACATATGCCTGTGTGGAAAATGCCTACGTGGCTAAAGTAGACAGGCCCTAAGATTAGAAACATCTGGGAAACATAAGTGGGGGCCTTCTTTCTTTACCATAACAAGAACCCCTTCTCTCTAGGGAGAATTGTATGCACAAAGGAACCATTCTATGTATGGAAAACTGTATGGAATATGTACCCCACGCCTTAAAATCCAACCTGTATAAAAGGGGAGACAGAAAGACATTCTGGATCTTTTTTTCTGCAGAGAAACTTCTCTTAATAAAGAGTATATTCTGGCATCAAAACTCAAGACTGAGTGTGGTTCCTAAGATGAGCAGCAGACGACACCACAAATTGGCGACCACGAAGGGACTGGAAAAGATCAAAGAGTGGACGACCACTTTTGGGCTGACTGAGACGAGCAACACAAACAGAGTATATTCTGGCATCAAAACTCAAGACTGAGTGTGGTTCCTCAGACGAGCAGCAGACGACACCACAAATTGGCACCCCAGATGGGACTGGAAAAGAGCAGAGGAGTGGACGACCACTTTGGGCTAACTGAGACGGGCAACACAAACACGGTGGCCACCGAATAGGTAAGCAATTTTGCTTATATAATTCGTTTGTGTTGTTTGCTGGTCTGCTCTTAGTGGTAAGGACACTTAAAATCTGCTCTTCCAGAATTAAAAATAAATAAATAACTAAAATAAAATAAAAGGGGTTTTGATGCCAGAAGAAATAACTGCATGCACAGATTTGGTTTAATATTGGGAAGGCCTTGATAGGTGACCTAAATTGAACCTAGATGGTGTAGGCAGAAATACATTGCATGTAGGGGTCTGTGTTTGTTGTTGATTGGGCCTAAAAGGGCAGCAATCAACAATAAAGCAGATATAGTATAGAAAAGCGTGCAGAGACCTTTGGATACCGCTCTGTAGGAGAGGAATAGTACAGAGGGCTGAACGGAAAGGCAAAAATCCCTGCTGGGCGCTGATTTTTTACTGAGTTGAGGGAGATTAATCAGTAAAAGAGCGAGAGCCCTGCAGGTCACTCGAGGAAGAGTGTAGTGTTTTGTTGTATGAGACTGAAACTGTGTCTGTGTCCGTATGAATGTCTGCATGAGTGATGGTGAATGTATGAGGAAATAAATAAATTCCGTATTGGATGGGTACGAGCTGCGCACCCTCTTGGTCCATCACTTAAATGTGGCTTGGTGTGGATGGACGCAGTTCATGCCGCACCCGAGAGGGCTGAATAAATGATTAGCCCTATAGATAAAGGGAAAAAATATGAATGC